TTTCAAATACAAACAGGAAAATTTTGTCTTTATGGAGGTTAATCTAGAAGCATAGACATGTCAATGAATAATTTCCATGTGACAGTGATGTAACATTTGTACAGGGTAATAGTACTGTGGTTTACACATGATACAACATCAAGAGAAGGCTTTAGAGATAAAGTGATATTTTAGTTGATTTAGTAGGCATTCAAAGTGGTAACAATTATTTTCAAGTAAAAAAGAGTGCAACTGGAAAAGTTTTTAAAAATGGATATATGTGGCATATTGATGGAAGGGTACAAGAATCTAGGTATGATGCAAGAAGAATATGGAAATTAGAAGGAAAATTATCTAAAATTTTAACAACATAATGAGACACATGATTTTAAGCAGAAAATTAGCTGATCATTTTATGGTTAACAAAGAAAATGCTTATTATATAGTAAAAATAGTTAAAGTTTATTGAAACAGATGAGGGGAGATATGATGATCAGAGATTCATAATAATTTTTGCATCACAGACTATTTGGACAGTTGAGGAAAACCTAGACTCCTTCTCAGAATACTTACAAATACTTACACTCCAGAAGGAAGTAAACTAAGTTAAAATACAGTTATAAAATATGGTGGTGCACACCTGCAATCTCATTGACTCAGGAGGCTGAGACAGGAAGATTGCTAGTTTGAGGTCAGCCTCAGCAACCTGAGACCCAAATATAGTAAAATAAAAAGGGCTGGGGGGTGTAGCTCTGAGGTAGAGCACCTCTGGGTTCATCTCTCCCAGCAAAAACAGTTATAAATATAATAAAAATAATGTGGTATTATAGTGATATATGTAATAAATTCACATTAAAATAAGTAAAATTATTATGTATCATACATAATAATTTCAAAACAGCAATGAACATAAATAACAATCTGAAGATACATTCAATAGTTAGAGATACATATTTTAAGCTGGGCACAATGGTGCAAGCCTGTGATCCCAGCAGCTTGGGATCAAGGCAGGAGGGTCCTAAGTTCGAGGGCAGCTTCAGTTTTGGTTTCTGCCAAAACACAGTCTTACCATGTCTCAAAATAAAAATCTTTTAAAAGAACTGGGGAATGGGGTAAAAATGGGAGCTCATAACCCACTTGAATCAAATTGTGAAATATGATATATCAAGAACTATGTAATGTTTTGAACAGCCAACAATAAAAAAAAAAAAAAAAAAAGAACTGGGGAGATAGCTCAATGGTAGAACACCCATAGTTCATTCCTGGATACTATTTAAAAAGAGATATAATTCATATATAATGTGATATGAAAACATATGTGTTTTTTATTGGCAACATGTCATAAGTACTACTAATATAATCGTCATGTGTTTTCTATATTCATAATGAAAGTAAATGTGTACTTTTGGTAAAGGAATAAGGAATATAAAGACATAAGTTTTTTACTATCTTCTTTATGAATCTCAATTTAAAAACTCCTCATCTAGACTAAGGTCCAGGCAAGAAGACAGGAAATGAAAGAGATATTTAGAATATATTTCAAATAAATAAACATCCTCTGGAAAGTTTTTTTTTATAGCAAATAGATAAAATAATCCTAACCTAAACTGGATTGACTCCAAAAAGTAAAAAGGAAATACCCCTATATCAACTGTTATTTAACAGTTTCCTTTACTTTGCTAAAAAGAGCACAGACAAACAACAGTAATACCGCCAAACCATGATTCATTTTCAAGAAGAATCCCTCCCTGATCAAAGGTTTACATTGTTTTTTACCAGCATCAGATTGCTTACCCACACAAACTTTAAATATATCATTTTTAGAACTAACCAACAACAAGGCCCATTTTGTTTTGACATGTAAGATACAAAAAAGAAAATGAAGAAAAATGACGATCATTTTATGTCTATGCTTACAAAATGAGAAAATCTAGAAAGAGTGATGGAGAAATTCTGAGATAATAACATTTTAATATTTGTGTTATCAGAAGGAAAATACCTGCTGAAATTCCCTGCTTTCAGAAGGAAATCTTAAGTATTGTCAATGTTGAATCGTCAATTTCTATAAAACTATGCGGAGAGCTATGAAAGCAATAAAGCTGAGAGAAAACAGTATATTTCAATGAAGAAATTGAGTATTAGCCTTCAACTACTGACTCTCTACAAATGACAAAGTCCTTCTTTGGTATTTCCCAACCTTCAACAAATATATACTATAAGGTATCTGTTCACAGTCATTTAATATGTCTTTTCTCCTGGAGTAGAAGATACATGAGGACAAGGACATCACTAAATTTTGTACATGTTATCCCCAAAGCCCAGCCCAGAACCTGTTAAGTGGTTTGCTTAACTAAGAATGAAGAATACGGGGGCTGGGGCTCAGTGGTAGAGCACTTGGCTAGCATGTGTGAGGCAATGAGTACAATCCTCAGCATCACATAAAAATAAATAAATCAAATAAAGGTATTGTGTCTATCTACAATAAGAAAAAAAGGAAGGAAGAATAGGCAGAAAAACGTGCAAAGGAAAGTTTTCTAAAGATGTATAAATGTAAAGACTGCAAATCAGTCATGAATTATCAACTAATACACCTGCACTTCTTCCTATTGATCTAGCTACCACCCATGCACATTGACTCTCTTACAAAAAAAAACATTTCTTGAAATTTGTCAACAAAATATTCAAAACAAAAAAGTTCTCAGAGGATCTATACTACACAACTAAATATATAACAAAAAATTTACAAAAAATAGGTCTGAAGTAAAATTTCTCGCAAATGGCTAAAAATATCAATATCTCATATATTTCTAAATTTTATACATTAAAAATTCTAAAAACATTTTAAAATGAATGTTTTTTATCCAGGACTGATTCTAAAAACCTTCAATTTACAAAACTCTCAAACTTGAAGGTTACTAGTTAAGTGAAATACAAGTGTTTAACAACTGTTCTTATAAAAATAATAATGCCAAAGCACAGAGGAGAATATAGACCACAGAAGTCACACTTTTTGAGTTACAACAGTTCTTTCAGATACCATTTACCTCTTTTTCATCTATATTATAAGTTTCTATAGAAATATATACATATATCAAGAATTGATCAGTTATTACAAAAGAGCATATAAGTTAAATAAAATAAGGAAAGGTATAAATACCCAAGAAGAATTGCCAAGAAATACTTGAACAAATACATGTACCCAAGAAGTACTTGAACAAATACATGTACACACATATTCCTAACAGCACTATTCATATTAGTCAAAAGGTCAAAACAACCAGAATGGCCATGCAATGATGAATGGATAAACTGGCTTATATCCATAAAAAGGAATATAATTCAACCATAAAAAGCAATGAAGTATTGATATACATTACAATGAGCATAAACCTCAAAAACATTAAATTGAAGAGCTACTAACAAAAAGTCATATAGTATATAATTAAATATATTTGAAATATACAGAACAGATAAATCCACAGAGTAGAGGTTGCTTGATGTTTGGGGTAAAGAAAATGGTGAGAAACAGCTTAAAGAATATGTAATTTCCTGTTGGCATAAGCAAATGTTTGGAACAAGAAAGAAGTGATAGTTGCACAACACTGTGCATGTAAGAATGCCACACTTAATTGGTTAATTTTTTGTTATGCAAATTTCAGACTGATTAAAAATAATTATTTCTGTGTTAACCATAATCTTTCTCTATAAAATACCTCAATATTGCAAAGCAAAAATGGTTATCTCTCAAGAAGAATACATAATGCTCCCAAAACAGAGTAACCTAATGTTAACATCTTCATTCATTCTGCTGGGAATTAAATGGTCCAATCATTGGTGTTAACTACCAAGGCTAAGGTTAACACACACTATGACTCAAAATTCACACTCCAAAATGAGTTCACATTTATACAAAGAAGCAGTAGAAAAATTGTCACTGCATCATTAGAATTAATAACTCAAAGCCAGAAACCACACAACTGTATATCAAGAATATTAGAAAAGATAAATAAATAGAAGCATGTTTGCCCAATGGAATAAGTAAGCATTTTTGAAGCATTACCTCTAAAACAAAGGCAGGTCACAGATACCTAAAGAGGTTTTCTACATTTGCTAATTCTCCACTATACAGAACAACTGTAAAAATAAACAATGGAAACAAATGAACTAAATCTACCTGCAAAATGAATGAACTTCACAAAAACAATGCTAAAAAAATATAACAGAATAAATGTATTCTATATAATTCCATTTATATATAATGGGGAAAAACATGTTTAAGGATACTTTCTTAGGAGTAAAACTGTTTTTAAATATAAGTGGGGTTAGACTTGCCTGGCATGTAAGACCTAGGGTTCTATTCCCAGTACTGTAAAAAATAAAATGTAAAGAAGCAAATATCATAAAAGTCAGAATTCTGCTTTAATGTTAAAGAGTGGAGGAGAAAAGGGGGATCTTGGTAATGTGCTCTTTATTGATTGGAATGATGGTTACATAACTATTTGCCCTAAGATAAATAATGGCAATACACCTTTTTTGTTTGTTTGTTTGTTTTCCTATAACACACTAGTATAAATTCCACAGAGATGTATTTTAAAATAAAATGAAAATGTTGCTCTATATCAAGTATACATGAATCATGACCATTCCTCTGCAACAATGAATATTTCTCAATGAACTATAGTACTAGCCCATTATAGACAGAATGTTCTGAAAGAGATATATGAAAATGGGATTTAGTTCTCTAAAGCTATGAACATAAATTCAAAAATTTTTATTCTATTAATAGCAATTATCCCTTATACTGAAAAAATTAGGAAGTTAAAATAGCATGGTAAAGATCATTATTGTATTGGTTCAATTTTTTAAATGATTTAATAAATAAGAATGCCTTCAATGAGATTAAGATCTTTTTATTACAGGATTGGTGATGAAAATATTTATTTTAGCCTAGATTTCAAAAACTGAGGACACATTGAAGGAAGACTAAAGGGAAAAGTGAAGAGAGAGAAAATTAAGTTTACCATGCAGGGGTGAGCCAGAAGGGCTGCTTGATAGGCCTGGAACAGGACTACAGCGGCCTCCTTGCTTTGACGTCAGTTCTTGTTCAATTTCTTCCAGTCCAGCACTTTTCTGGAAACGGCTCATGCGATTAACTACTCGTGGTGACATATGTGTACGAACACAAGGCTGGCCACCATAAGGGTTGATGGGGAAAACATGAGAAGTACCCCGGAGGGTACTGACCACAACCCAACGACAGTCATGGCTGAAGCAGATGTCCTGTACCTAGAAATAAAGAAAGATACAAAAAGAGCTGAAATTATTTGAATATACCCTCAGAGCATCATTTGTCACCAAATCTGAACAGAAATGGGTGCATCATTACCTAAGAACAGTTTTTAAGTAAAGAATTTTTATTTTACAGATGAGAGTTTCATAATGATGTTGATCAAAATTCCATTTTGACAAATGGTGCTAGGAAAACTGGTTATCCACACATAAAAGGATAAGACTAGGCCCTTACCTCTCACCCTGCACAAAGATCAACTCAAAATGGATCAAAGACCTAGGAATTAGAACAAAACCTATACAACTCCTAGAAGAAAACTTAAGGTCAACACCCTAGCACATAGGCATAGGAAACAACTTTCTCAATAGGACTCCTAAAGCTTAGGAAATACTGCCAAGAGTTTATAAATGGGATGGCATCAAATTAAAATGCTTCTGCACACAAAGAAAAAAAATTTTAAATGTGAAGAAAGAACCAACAAAATGGGCAAAATATCTTAGCTAGCTACTCTTCTTACACAGGGTTAATATCTAGAATATAGAAAGAACTCAAAAAACTTAACACCAACAAAAATACAAATAATTCAATTAATAAATGGGAAAATGAACCAAATAGGCACATCTAAAATGGAGAAAGACAAATGGTCAACCAACAAATATATTAAAAAAAAAAGATCAACATCATTAGCAGTTAGGGAAATGCAAATCAAAACCTCACTGAGACTTCATCACACATCAAAATGAAAGTATTCAAACAATAATAAACACTCTTGGTGGAACTATACAACCACTATGGAAGTCAGTATGGAGGTCCTCAAAAGACTAGCCATGGAACCACCATATGATCCAGTTATACCACTCCTCAGTATTTATTCTAAGAATTAAAGTCATTGTACTATAGCAATACATGCATACCCATGTTTACAGCAGCACAATTCACAACAGCCAAACTATGGAACCAGTCTAGGTATTCATCAACAGATGAATGGATAAAGAAAATGTGGTGGGCTGGGGCTAGGGCTCAGTGGTAGAGCGCTTGCCTTGCACATGTGAGGCACTGGGTTCGATGCTCAGCACCACATATAAATAAATAAAGGTATTGTGTCCGTCTACAACTAAAAATTTTTAAAACTGTGGTATATATAGATAGTTTACTTTTATTCAGCCATAAAGAAAAATGAAGTAATGTCATTTGCAGGAAAATGGATGGAACTTGAGATCATTATGTTAAACGAAATATGCCAAACTCGGAAGCCAAGGGTCCTGTGTTTTCTCTCATATATGGAAGTTAGGGAGGAAAAAGGAAAAGAAAGGTGGGGGTGGAAGGGAATTTCATGAAAACTGAAAAGAGATCAGTAGAATAGAAGAAACAGACCAAGGAGAGGGAGGAGGAGAGGAAAAAGGGAAATACTGAGGAGTGATATTGATCAAATTATATTGTTTCCTTGTGTGCATGTATGAATATGTAACAACAAATTCAATCATTATGTACAATTACAACACACCAATAAAAATGAAAAAAAAACATAAAAATAATTTTAAAAATATCAATACATTTTCACATGCTAGAATCAAAAATAAAAAGAAAAACATCTTTAGACTTACTGAGTAATTTAAGCAATAGAATGAACCATGCTATCTAAAACCATTTTCCAAAATACCTATAATCAAGATCATTTCCTGGTCTGTTAATGAAAAGTAATTTCTTTCTTTCATTTTAAGAATACTTGTAATATGAAGTGGAGTTAACAATCAGTATCAAAATAGGGAGATAGAATTCTACCTAATGCTTACTTAGAAAAGTGCTATTAAAGTGATTCTATTCTATGACCCCGAAGACATGTAGGCATACATGAATGAACAGAGCTGCTAAAGATATTAGCTGCCAAGTGAACTAGAGAAACTTTAATCCTTTAAATAACATTACAAGTCACCCACCCACAAAATGCAAAATGATATATCTTTTGGTATTATCAACTAGCTGGATGGGTTTCATTCATTAAAAGCAGAGAGAGTGTGTATACGTGTGTGTGTGTGTGTGTGTGTGTGTGTGTGTATGTATATGGGGGGGGTAATGGCAATCTAGTAATAAAATGATGACATCACTGGCATGAGTTTTGTATCTCAATTTTGGAATGCTGTTTTTTTTGTTTTGTTTTGTTTATGTTTTTTAAAATATTTATTTTTTAGTTGTAGTTGAATACAATACCTTTATTTTATTTATTATTTTTATATAGTGTTGAAGAGCGAACCCAGGGCCTCAAGCATATGCTAGGCAAGCGCTCTACCACTGAGCCACAACCCCAGCCCTGGAATGCTGTTTTGAATTAACGTTTTTTCATCATAAAACCTAAAAGCTGGGGCTCGGGTGGTGGCTCAGTGGTACAGCGCTCACCTAGCAAGTGTGGGGCCCTGGGTTCGATCCTCAGCACCACATAAAAATAAATAAATAAAGGTATTATGTCCATCTACAACTAAAAAATAAATATTAAAAAAAAAACATAAAAGCTGGGCAGGGAGTGGTGACACATGCCTATACTCCCAGTCACTTGCAAGGCTAAGGCAGGAGTTCCAGGCCAAACTGGACACCTTAGTGAGACCATGTTCAATCCACAGGGCTGCAAAAAATAAAAATATTAAAAAAAGGAAAGCTGAGTGGAATCTGTATCACTGACTTAATTGTACAGTACACATATCCTCACATACAACATTTTTTAAGTACGGATTAGGCAACTGTGATAAACAGAAATTGAACAAGTACAGCCTTAATTTGCTATACAAACTTCCTGTTCTCAAATGTAGGCAACAAATATATATCAATAATTATTTTTTTTAAAACACTCCCTATTCACAATTCTAACTTGGGTACTGGGAGATTCAGGAAGCAAGGAGTACATGCTCTTAATAAGCCACATTTCAAAATGCTATGAAACTAAATCAGGGAATGATTATGGAGAGAATGTATATATGAAACCAGTGCGGATGTCTTTTAGAACTGGGGTCAACAAACTACTTCGGTAAAGGGATACACAGTAATTTTAGGCTCTACAGGTCAGAAATCAAAATCAAGGGTATTAAGTAGATACTTATAAATATAAGAGAAAAAAATTAATATAAAAATTTATTGATGAGATTCAAAATATAGTAATAATCCACTAGAATTTTTTATAATACAGATCTACTAATGAAAAGAATAAAACTCATCTTTATGGAGGCTTTTTTTTTTTGTACTAGGGCACTTTTTTTTTTTTTTTTTAACACAAGGGCACTTAACCACTGAGCCACATCTCCAGCCCCCTTTTTCTTTCTTTTTTTTTTATTTTTTTATTTTATTTAGAGACAAGGTCTCACTGAGTTGCTCAGCACCTTGCTAAGTTGCTGACACTGGCTTTGAACTTGCAATCCTCCTGCCTCAGCCTCCCAAGCCGCTGGGATTACAAGGATGCACCAATACGCATGGCAAAAGGGTAAGATGTTCTCAGGTCAGTAATTAATATTGCTATAGTTTAGAAGACTCAGCAGAGTACAGAGGAATGATTATAGAAAGCCTTATTAGAAGATTTCATACAATATATGAGTTATGAACATAAGACCAATGAGATGAAAGTAGTTTGAAAAATTCAATCATAAGAAGATATTTTGTTTTGTTTTCAAGGTGAATATTATTGTACTCAATTCAATAATAATACATGACAATTACAGAAAAATACTTAGTTCAAAAGAACACATACATATAAATCTAACAATCCGGAGGCTAATATTTCTTCATCTTGGAATACAACTTTCTAGTCATCTCTTAATGCATAATTTAATACATAGTTATCCATTTATATATATGATATGTGCATGTATACAAAAGTCTACATGATTAGATTAAATGTGGCCAATTTTAAACACATAGCAATCTATAAATTTTAATAAGATTGTGAAAATAGAGGGAAACAGTGCTAAAAGTATAAAGCCCTATATATTATTACAGGCTTTACCTAAAGGTGGTATATTATGGTAAATATACCTATTCTTAAGTAGCTATATGGCCATGAGAAAGCTAATTAATAAGCTAGTTCTGCACCCTGAGGTTCTTAATGTACAGAATAAGTGATAATCTCATAGCAGTTAGTATGAACTAATTAATATAGAGAGCACTTAAAACAATACCTAGTATTGAATAAGCCCTGTACAATTAAATTCAATCACATTACCATAAAAAATATATTCCAGTTCTGTCCAAACACCTATCTCTGTTTTCACTGCTACTAATGTGGACTAAGCCACTCTCCTTTGTCTACTAGGTTACTATATTAGCCTCTTACCTGGACTCTTAATTGAAACCACCTGAAAGCAACACAAGACAAAGTAGATAAATTATACTTCTTCAACATTAAAACCTGCTGCACATCAAAGGATATTACTAAGAAAGCAAAAAAGACAAACCACAAAATGGGAGAAAATATTTGAAAAAAATACATCTGGTAAAGATCTCATATCTAATATATATAAATAACTTACAAATCAACAATATAAAGACACTAAATGAAAATAAACAATGGATTTGAACAGAAATTTATGCAAAGAAAATACACAAATGGCTAACAAACTCATGAAAAGATGCTCAACATCTTTAAGTCACTACAAAAATGCAAATCATACCCACAACGATAGCTAAAAGATAAAAGACCAGAACAAGTGTTATTGATGTGGTACACACATTAGAACCATCATTCATTTCTGGAAGAAATGTAAATGACACAGCCACCTATAAGGTGTTTCAAAATATTAAACACAGAGTTATCATATACCCCAGAAGTTTTACTCCTAGATGCTCAAAAGAACTGAAATTATACATTCCCACAAAAACCAGTACCCTGATGTTCATAGCAGTATTCCTAAGAGCCACAAAATAAAATTGCTCCAAATGTCCTTTTCCTAATGAATAGATAAATGGAATGTGATATATCCACATAAGTGGACTATTATTCATCCATAAAAGGAATGAT